TGCAGAAACAAACTAAGCTTAAAGGTTGTTGCAACCAAATACATTAACAATCTCTACAGCGCTACCACCAGCCGTAACTCCATTACATACTCTCTAGTCTAAATTCTAAAGGCAAACACTTCTTTGAAATTGAAAACTAAAACTAGAGGCAACAAAACATTAAGATGCAACTATGAGTAACAGTAAGCAACTCTGAGCTTCTGACTGGACACCACAAAACATCATAAGCCATTAATAGAAATGGAAAACACCAGGGATATTCCCTGTGAACTTTTCGTTCACCCAAGAAAGAATTCAAAGATTAGCTAGAACAAATTTGAGATGGCGCGCTAAGAACCTCACAGAATGAGAAGATGATCACAACTAGTCCATCCATTCTCTTTGAAACTTGATAATCTTTTTTCTGGTCCCATTCCACGCTGCTCTTCGCAGATAAGCATAATCTATTGCATTCACACAAGTAGTCAGATCTTATTGGAAACAAAAATCACCACCAGCTCTAAGATAACTGAAAATGCTCCAAAGAAGCCCCTAAACATATCCCTCTAAGCAGTAAAGGATTCTGAGGGTCGTAAAACAACTTCTCAATTTACTCGAACAAAATTTATCATTACTGGTATTTTCTCAACACCCCCCAAAGAAGAATTTAAACTCAAAATCACAAAATTTGACATTATCAGATCTCCTCATCTTCTCAATCTGCCCACAGCTACAAGGCAAGAGACCAAATTACCACATAGAACTTATTCCGGCATGAAATGTCCCAGCCCAACTATGCAGCTAGACTGCTAGAGCGATATTAGACATATGTAGGTGTATCCTTCTCCTTGCATTTCTTCAAAGAGATTTTTTCATGTTTCATACACAGGAGCAACTTTGTTGAGCCAATCCTCTCCCTCAATATAAATCAAACATATGGCCTAATAATAATCTTTCTAGCTTTTCACTAAAATAAAATCACAAAGACACTACACAACGTTAAAGACTACATGTTAAAGCTAAAGCAGCATCTACCGGATCCACATTCCACTAACATGAGGGAAATGAATAATCAACCATTGTCAGCTACAATCTTACCCGATATCAGCAAATTGAACGCATTCAAATATCAAAGAAATTGTTATACAGGAAATGAGGGGAATCCTTTTTTCCCAAAAAAAAAAAAGTCTAACCATCTGAGCACTTGTTCTTCGTAGCGAGACTAGAGGAAGAGCGGGTGTCTCGATGATCAATATGCTGCTGATGCAATTTCCCGGCACCTACGGAGGTAGACGGAACCGCCTTGTCCTTCAAGGCTCTAGATGTAGAAGGTGCAGATTTTTCCAAGTGCTTATCCAACGCATCATTAATTCGCTTCCGATCCAACGTTCCACCAACGATCTCCGACCTTGATGAACCACCACCACCTCGATCCCTATACATTTCTCTCTCCTTCAACCAAACCTATACGTATATAATATATATCTATAAACCTATCAGTTCTACATGTATGAAGCTCAAAACTCCATATAAACGGAGATATATGAAAGGGGAAACCGTGTGTATGAAAAGAGTAAGTTGAATAGACGGAGATAACTAGGGTTTCATCGACATTTGAGAGAGATGACAGGAGAGAAGCCAGTCCTCTGTACTTCGTCTTTTTCTCTCTCTTCTATTTTTTTTTGGTTTCAGATTTTTTTTATTTAATTTATGCGATCTAAAGTTTTACTTTGTTAATAAAATTAAATTTTTCGATTTCATAATTCAGTAGAATGTACTCCAAAAAAAAAAAAAAACTTGAAATGATATATTACTAAAAAAAAAAGTTAGCATACTTGATTCAAAAGCTTTCTCGTACAAATCGACTCAAATGTTAATTAATACTTATTCTTCTTTACTAAAAAAATATATATTATAATATACTAATAAAATAATGTATGACAACTTTATATAATCTTAAATAAGTGCTCAAGTTGAAATCTGTACAAGATTAGAGTCGTAAAGATTTAATTTATTCTATACTTTTCGTGAAGAAAAAAATGTGTAACCTTGTAATTTCAGAAATATTTTTTCTTCTAAATTCGTAACACAATTTAAAGGTTTCGAATTTGAATATAAAAATAAAAATAAAAAATTTAATTTCCAAATACAAATTTGAATTAGTTAGCGCTTTTCTCTTCCACATTTTATTGAAGCAATTAGCACTATAAGTCACTGCTTAAAAGTTTTCTAAAAACGATAAAGAAACCTTTTGATTTTAGGAAGATAATAATTCATAAATTAGCTAAATGTACTCATATCAAGCAATTGGAAAGATGTGTTATGTGTTGTTTTCAATGTGGGTAACAAACAGACAAATTATTGAGATTAATTATAAAGATAGACAAACTATTTGTTAGAAAAATACTAAAATTGGTCATTCTTACTTCTTTTATTTACTACATTTTTAAATGATTTTTTCTGAAATTTACACTATATATACTAAAATGATTTTTTCTTAAAGTAAACGTTAAAGTTTAGAAATATACGTAGTCCTTACACCAGTATCCATTTTGATCTTTTCCTTTTCTTAAAAAAAAAAAAAAAAAAGGCTTGAGTCATCTGCAGCCTCTTAAAGTTGTCCGCATAATTCATTTAGACACTTCAATCAGGACTAGTACCTATTGAACACTTTTATTTATTCAAAACTTGTTTCTATTAGACATTTTTCAACAATAAGTAAAACAAATAAAGTGTGTGTAATACACTTGCTGTAATGTGGCAAAATGACTAATTAAAAGATAACATGTGGCGTTGGGCCCAACAATTTTCCAAAATTATTTCAAAAAAATTTCCATCTATTTTTTTTATAAAAATAAAAATAAATGATAGTCCAACCCTACCCCATCCCCCTTTCTTCTTCATCTTCTTTCTAGCAAGATTTTATTTCTCAAAGGATAAAATTCAATTCTTTGTTAATTGCTTACATAATTATTTTTTATTCCTAATACGTGAGATCGATATATTCAAAGAGACTGACACAAGAATGATGAAGAAAGACACTGTCAATCGTCTTGAGATCGATAACAAAAAGAAATCGAGAGGACCTAAATTAATTTTATTGAATCAATCTGATATTATGTTTGATAATTTTAGTGGGTTTACATTTTAATTTGAATGGTAATATTTGTTCGAAGGTGACCGAGATGGACGTCGATGGCTAACTTTTTTAGTCCGATGTTCTTTCTTTTTTTTTCCTCCAAATTTAATTAGCTGATTCAATTTTTATTTTTTAATAAATGTTGAAAAGAAATGAAATAGAAAAAGAAAAGAAAAAAAATGGAGTGTAGTGGTTTTCATGGAGAAGATGACTTACAGGGGTGGCGTGGGGTTTTGTTTTTTTTTAAAAAAAAGAATTAGTATTACTTTTAAATATATATTTGTTAAAGTTAAATTATTTAAATGCCAAGTGGCACTGTAAGAAGAAAAAGTATTAAGTTTTTTTGGAAAAAATAAAAATAAAACATTATTTAAGTTTTTTCACGCGCTCAACGGAAGTGTAAAACACTTTTTTTGCCACATCAACATTTTGTGTTTAATAGGTATGCTTTTTGAACAATTCAGGCGTTCAATAGGTAATAGTTATAATTGAGGTGTTTAAGTGAAATATGCGGACAACTTTAAGGGGCTGCAGATGACTTACGCAAAAAAAGAAACTTTCTTCTGCACTGTCCCATGTCTTGCTTATGCACTTTTTTTTATTAAAAATAAATAAATTAAGTTTGTACTTTTTTCACAAATATTAAAAGTTTATAATTTATAATTTATTTTTTTAAAATCATTTCTTATACAATCTTATCAACTGAGCAAATCATAATTTATAAGCAATGTGTTAGAATATCTCTATGTTCATTTTATAAATAAAGTTTGCAATTATATGTTATTACAATTAATAACTAGCTATTATTTTAAACAATTCTTTCATATAATATGAACAATCTTTTCGCCGAGCATAATTTTTTTATATGTATAAATTTATAGGTCAATAAATTATAAAAAAAAAAAAAATTAAAATTCGCGATTTGAAATCCTAAATTCTGTTTTTTCTGCTTTCAAGAGGATTTGTATTTGAAATTTAAAATCATACTAAGTAATGAAACACACCACCCAATTTCATAACAGTAAACAACCAGCTAGTAAAATAGCTAGAGATGTTTGGGATCAGAAAAAACTTTATAGGCATCTGTACAAATGTATGAGGAGGCGTTGAAACAATAGGAAAATTGTGTTTGTGTGACCTATAATTTAAGAAATTTTTAAATCGATGAATGTTTGCGCTAGAGTAACCTACGTCACACCCCCTTGAAGTACAATATTTTTTTTCCGAATCCAATATAAAAACAGGCAACAAAGCATAGTAACTCCCATTGCTATCATTAAAGGATGTGGTGTTGTGAATGGAGTTGTATCTCCTTTAATTAGAGGTCTTGAGTCGCTTCTTCTTGAATGAGGCCACATACGAAGCGAATCTAGATTAATCGAGCTTCAATACAAAGATATTGAATACCAAATGAAAAAACAAAAACCACCATTGCTAGTGGATTTGCTATAAATTATCCCCACAACCACATATAGTACAGACAAAGATATGAGAAAGCATGGGTCCTTAGCTTACCAAATTTTTTTATACTATTATAGACTAGTTACTATTTTTATCATGTATGATGTAACTGATATTTAAGTGTCATAATAATTTACACACATTACCTTATAAGGTAATATTAAATTATGTACAGTAAATATCTTGAGATTGCTAGTACATAAAAACATAAACTCAAATCAATCAACAATTATATAAAAATATGGTAGAGTAATAAAGTATTCTTCCTACTGGACAAGATATCACATTTGTTAGAGAACGATTTACCACATACTGTCGAACTTTCCAATGCAAATCTAAATTTAATCAGATTCCAATATCAAAGTACCGGACATCGAGTGAAAACAAAAAAAAATCTAAGTATAGATAGTAAGGTGTGAAAGGAAACAAGTGGGAGAATCTGACAACCCAACTGGAGTCTATTTGGGTGTCATCATTAGTGTCTCTGCCCTGCAGTATCACATGTGTGTACTCATTCTTGCACTGGAGCAAAAAATTCTTGTGAGAAGGACAAAACAAAAACTCTTGGGAAATAACTAGATAATAATTTAAAAGAAATTCTCCATAGGAAATTGAAATTTGTGTTCTTTCTATATACAGTAAGTATAAGTATATATGGACTCTTATCAAAATAAAATCAAGATTTGTGTCAACACCTCTGAATGTGGATTTAGTGACTGCATTTGGATACTAATGTAGAATTATACTATTGGACTACAACAATATATATAAACACCAACATATCTAGTGTAATCTCACAAGTAAGGTCTGCGGAGGGTAGGATGTACGCAAACCTTACCTCTCCGAATTCCGATACACCCTTGGCTCACTACAACAATATATATGCTGCATAAAAAAACTGGTTTTCAAGATTGTAATGCAATGCTAACAGAATAACACACTACTCTTAGACATCTCTAAAATCTAAAGTACACAACTCATCCAGAAGAAAATAGATATAAGAAGAGCAGTAGCAAGTTGTATTCTGTAGAGTTCAGCACACTCATCCTTCTTCCAATAAACTTGCTGATTCTGTTCAACTTTTTGTACTCCTAAACTCAAACTCACTCACAAGACAAATAGCAATAATAGGCTGAGACACTGCTTCTACAAATTCCCAGAGTATGCCACTGAAATTCAGATAAAACAAGCCCTAATGAAGCATCTGGAGTGAATTACAATTCATATACAGTTATCGCTCTTCTAATCAACAGATCTGTCAGTGAGAACTTGAGTCATGCCAAAAGAAACATCTTCCCCTCCCTTGATATTAGTATAGAATCTAGTACTCCAATATGTTAAAAGTTATTTCCTTAATGCAAATTTGTATAAACTTAAAACAACTTGTAATTTTCCCTCCCCCTACCCTAAGAATATTAATTTATTGGATGATCAGGGTTATTGAGATTACATTTTAGACAAAAGGATGATTACTAGAAAGTATTAAAAAGATATAACAAAGTAATGTGGCACGTTGCTACGTAAATTTCTTGGGTTAAATGCATTTCTAAAGCCGAGGCTCTAAACAGTTTTCATTTTTTATAAGTTCCTCTTCAAAATAGTTCTTCCTAGTTCCAAGCCAAGGTTATAATCAAATGTTCAGATTCTTTTGAAGATGCAGCTCAAATACTTCTAAATACCATTACTCAGTTATATAGTAGCTAAAATAATTTCTACAAAAAGATGGCTGTTCTAGCACAACAATTACATCATAGATATCAGCATAACTTGATTGATGGTGAACATTAACTAATTCTACCTACATCCCTATGTGAAACCAATACAAAAATATCAATAACAGCTCTTGACAATCATGCTAACCGAAGAACCAAAAGTTGAATTTCAGGTAACTTTTCCCTTTTGGATACAACTCCAGCAACAATCAATGCAACTGCAGAAGAATCATGTTCGATGTCCATAGCAGATAATTGATCCCCTGCTTCCTCTCTTGGAACCCCAAGAAAACAACTCAACATAAGGGTATCCATATCATCAAACAATTTTAAAAGCAGACAACAAGACAAAAAACAAAATGACCTTTTATTTATAAAAAAAAGACTTTATAACATCTAACCGCGCTAGAGGGAGAGGGAGAAACTCTTACAATTTGTACAGGCAAAATATGCTCCTTGTCACCTATTCAAGAGTTGAACAACAAAATACTCTACCATACACATTTTGGCCAGTAACATCATCAAAAGGAGTGGCCAACCAAGGATGTTATGCATTTGTAGGTATATTAAATCATTTGTTGAGTTTTTCTACAAGCACCGGGGTACTTTCTTTCACTGCTTCTGGTCTCACAATGCCAATTTCTCCTGCTAAAAGAAAAATCTTATACAAGTGTGTTACAAATAAGAAGAAAGGTTTCATGATATAGAACCTTCTAGAGTACGCAGACTATAGCCAGATAGGAATAGTGGTCTTTGGAGTGCTTCTGCAGCATTTAGCTCAAGGAGACTGGTGTTTTACTCAGAGCATAATCCTGCTTCTTGGAAGTTACAATCACACTTTTCCATATGGTTTAGCAAGCATAATACATCTTCAATCTGTTTCACATGATAGAGGCTCTGCAGCTTATACTTACCGGGAGAGCTTCCTGAAAAACAATTTGGCACTTGTTGTGCCAGCATCAAAAGCCTAAAACCTTTGATGTTAAATTGAGTATTTTAGGACCCAGTAGCAAGATGCTTCATACAGCATTCAGATCAAGCAAAATAGGCAAGCGACAGATATGAGATCCATCAAGCACTCAAACCCGCCCAATTTTTGAAAGCAATAAGTGCCTCCATTTTACCGCGATTTTTCCTTCTTAACTTTGAAACTCTGAGCTTCTTATGTTTCTCCATGAATGCTTGTTTATATCTCCATTTATCAACAAAAATTTTCCTCTCTTGAGATTTCTCCACGACTTGCATTACTGCATCAAAGAAGCCCCCTTTAACCAATGCATACAGAAACGCATCAACCAGGCTACTATCTAGTTTTAACTTTGTTTCCCCTTCTGCAGAAACCTTTCTTTTGACTTCATTCCACAGCATCATAACATTGAAATACTTCTCCACGGTCATATTTCCATTTATTAGAGAAAGATATGTCTGCTCATTTGGTTCGAACTGAAGGAAGGTCATTCTCCTGAAAGTCCTCCTTGCATCTTCTAGCCGTCCAGCCTTGCAGAAGGCATGGATGATGGAATTCCAATCATGCGTTCCGATTTCAATTCTAGGATCCTCAACGATCTCATCCAAGAAAGCTGACATGAGCTCAGGTCGATGACTTTCTGTTAAACCGGTCATGATTGTCAAGTAACTCCCTTGCAAGTCAGGTATTCTTGCTTCTCTCATGTCCCTAAACACAGAAAATGCAGATTGAAAATCTTGACATGACATTGAAGCTTCAATTAGAGCATCATAGGTAGCAACATCCAACTGGAGACCTAAACCGCTTATGTCTGTCACCAGTTGAGCTGCTTCAGCAGTTCTTTGCTCTTTGCAATATGCTTTCAGTATTGGAAGGTAGACTCCAAGACCTAAAGAAGCACCCTGAGCATTCATTTCATCAAATATCATGTGTGCCTTGTCCAATAACCCAAGATTAACGCAAGCATTTATGATGCCATATCCAACGGATCTCTCAACAATCACAGATGGAGATTCCAAGGTCTGAGTTTCACCAATCAACGCAGCTAAATCTTTTATGCTCCCATTTTGAAGAAACCCACTTACTACTTCACTATAAGTTACTTTTTGAAAACAAAATCCTTGTCCATCCGTTTCTCTTACACCTTGAAGAATAGTTGCTGAAACAGACGCCAAATTACCACACTTTACAAATCCGCTAATCAAGTTACTAAGAAAAACCCCTTTATCCGGGAAACCAAATCCACTTATTAAACCTTCTAACTCAGCTATTTTCTCTTTAAGACCCTTCAATGCATACAAATAAGCTAGTAAACCAAAACTACATTCATCAGGCCTAACACCCAAAACTGACATGGTTTCCACCACTTTCTCTGCATCAGTAATCGATTCAACCTCTCGACAACAACATTCTAGTGCAGCATTACAAGCTGCCAAACTGGGTTTCAAGAAATTCAACTTCTCATCAATAGCAACCCTACAATTCTCATTAAAAACTTGTAAAAACCCACCAAAGTTGCCATTTTTCCTACAAATCTCCACAAGAACATCACCCCACAGACTAAAAGGGATGAAAAATCTGTTCTTGAACATACACTTCACCAATGCAAAAGCAGGGGCAGCACTATTAGCTTCCCTCATTGAATTCAACAGTACATGTACAGTTTCAGGCTTTAACAATTCTTGTTTCTTCTCTAACAAGAAAACTACTGATGCAAATGCTCTTTTTATGTTATGGGTATCATTCAATGATGACAAATGAGTGATTACTGAATTGGTAAGTGACTTACTTGGGAAAGCAGAGTAATTTGAAAGAGTCTTGAATGATTTCCATGCTTCATCTGTGTTGTTACTTTTGATTGAATCTTGAAGAGTGGATTCAAGATTAGATTTGTGTTCTTGTGTTAAGGTTAGAGGGGTTTGGTCATGGGGTTTTGGTGGGGTTGTAGAAGGTGATTCATATCTTTTTAAGGAGAAAATTGAAGGCTGGAGAAAGGAATACAAAGTGGGTATTTCAGATTGTGAAGAAAACGGTCTTTTTGAGAGATTACAGAAAGCTCTTCTCCACATTCTTGCTCACTGTGTCGCTGTTTGTTCGAATGAGAAGATGGAAAAAAAGGAAAAGCCCTTCGCAAAACTAATTAAGTGCCTATAACCACTTATTTTAAAGTCAAAAGTCATAAGTTAAAAATCCTAATGTATGGTTTTTAGCTTATAAATAAAGAAATAAGCCAAAAGCCCATCTAAACAGGCCAAGTCAAACAATTTTGTAACTAAAATTTATATCAGTAGTACTTATAAATAAAATAAAATAGGGAAAATTACTTAAACAAAAATATACTAGTTAACTACTCCCTATGTCCCTAATTACTTGTCTATTATTTTTTTTAATTGTGCTTAATTACTTGTCTATTTTTACAAATCAAGAAAAGACAATTTTATTTACATATTATAACCTCAATTAATTAATTTGAAAAAGGTAGAACTTATTAAAAATCTTAAGTTTTTAACTCATCCACTTCATAATTAATATGAGTGAAATGGTAAACTCACTAAGTCAATTATTGTTTTATTAATAGGTGTGTCAATTCAAAAGTGGACAAGTAATTAGGGACATAGGGAGTAGTTAACATAGCTATAATTTACATTAATTACAATTCGGAGCTTACTTCTAGTTATAATTACATTCTCTCTCGCCACTCTCCTCTTTGTCCCCTTCTCAGTTCTCTTTTGCATATCTCTCTCGCTTTATACAAATACAAATGTAAATGTTTTAATTCGATTCAATTGTATACGAATTCAAATCGTATGCAAATATACAAATACAATAATTGATACATATACATAATAGTTAGATATATAAAATTCTAACCGATATACATATACAATTCACCTCTCTCCAGTCTTTGTCAATCTTGCTCGCCACTCTCCTCCCTATACATGTAGCTAAGAATCATAATAAGCAAACTATAGCTATGAAACATAATTAAGTTATTTTTGAGTAACTATATGCGAAAATTCCCCAAAATAAAATCCCAACCAAAAAAAAATAGTGGAAAAGAATAAAAAAGAAGGGGGCATTCCGAGAATTGAACTCGGGACCTCTCGCACCCTAAGCGAGAATCATACCACTAGACCAAATGCCCTTATTGATAGTTGTTAGCAAAGTTTAGTTTTTATAATAAAAATATGTCCCTTGAAAGTAAAAACTCTATTTATTGGAAAAAATAGAAGCTTTCAATGCCGTGGAAGTAGCTACTTCATCCATCTAGCATGTCAATGTACCACACCTTGCCATTTTTGTCATATTTTATTCAATGGAAAGAGAATCAGAAATAATAAAATCTTAAGCCCCTCAACTCAAATATTTAACACCTTTTATCCATTTATAAGTAGATTCTATCAACTGGTCAACATACAGTTTTAGAGGAATTTTAAAATGGAAACAGAACAATTACTGATAATTTCATCACTAGTTTTATGTGGATCTCTGGGGTTGTTCTTTGCACATGTCACCAATTTTTTACTTTTACATCCAAGAAAATTGAGATCAAAACTTCAAAGCCAAGGGATTAAGGGACCTTCTTCACCATCTTTTCTCTATGGAAATATCAAGAAACAGGCAACCCCAGAAGAAACCAACAATCAAGAATTACAAGAAAACAAACATACATGGCCTTCCAGAGTGTTTTCACATATAAAACAGTGGCAAATTGAATATGGTCAAATCTTGATATTTATACAACCTTCATTCATATAACTTCAATTCTTTTATAGCTTATGTGGGGTTTTTTTTTTTTTATGTTAAAATTACAGGATCAATATTCATGTATTCATCTGGAACCATACAGATACTATGTGTAACTGATGCAGATATGGTGAAAGAGATATCTTTGAACCTGGGAAAACCATCTTACTTATCCAAAGATCATGGTCCTCTTCTAGGCCAAGGCATTTTCTCTTCAAATGGCCCTTACTGGGCTCATCAGAGAAAGATCATTGCCCCTGAATTCTATCTCAACAAGGTTAAGGTACATACACATATTTATGCACTTGTTAAGTTTAAGTAGTATAATCACAAGTAGTCGCGGAACTAAGATTTTCACTAAATGGGTGTCAATTGGCGATAAGGATAGCTCCGCTCCTGATTGCAAGACTAGAATTTCAAATAGCTATTGATTATGCAGGAAATGGTGAAACTGATGGTTGAATCCACCAGTAATATGATAGAATCATGGGATGAGAGAACAAGAAATTCAGTAGGAAAATCGGAGGTTAAGGTGGACGATGATCTCAAGAGTTTGTCAGCAGATATAATCTCAAGAGCTTGTTTCGGAAGCAGCTATGCTGAGGGGGAACAGATGTTCCTAAAACTTCAAACACTTCAAATGGTTATGTCCAAAGTTCCCATTGGAGTTCCTGGATTGAGGTAAAAGGATATTGTTGCTACTTTAGAACTATGTTTAGCTCTGTAAAGTGTAGGGGAAAGGGGAAAAAAGTGAGAAATATCGAAAAAAAAATTCTCATTTCAAAGAGGAGGAAAAGGAAGGAGGATTAAATAAAGTAAAACTCATGGTAATAGATAATTTTCCCACTATGTTCAGATTGTGACAGGCATATTCCAAGTAAACATAATAGGGAGATATGGAGATTGGACAAAGAGATTAAAGCAATGATATTGAAGATAGTACGAGCACGGAGAAGCCCTACTCATGAGAAAAACCTTCTGAAACTGATACTTGATGCTGCTAAGAGTTATGAAGAGAGTGGTGGTGATCAGCTACCAGCTGACGTTTCTGCTGAAATGTTCATTGTTGATAATTGCAAGAGCATATACTTTGCTGGCCATGAGAACACTGGTCTCACAGCATCATGGTGTTTGATGCTACTAGCTGCATATCCAGAATGGCAAGCTCGTGCCCGTGCTGAGGTGCTTGATGTGTGTGGTAGTGAGTTGCCAAATGATTCTATGCTTAGACAAATGAAAGTGGTATGCAGTAATCTAAAAACCATATAATCAAAACCCACATACATTTTATACCTGGATCTCTAACATATATACATATTTGATTGGCAGCTGACAATGATCATCCATGAAACGTTACGTTTGTACCCACCAGTAGCATTCGTGGTGAGAGAAGCATTGCAGGATATAAGTATCGAGAGAATTGAGATTCCAAAAGGGACTAATATTGAGATTCCAATCCCAATCCTGCATCGGCAGCCTGAACTCTGGGGACAAGATACCTATCAGTTCAATCCAGAAAGATTTGCCAAGGGCATTGCAAAGGCTTGCAAAGTCCCAAGTGCTTATATACCATTTGGCATAGGGAGTAGAACCTGTGTGGGGCAAAATTTTGCAATGATTGAACTGAAGGTGATTGTATCGATGATTTTGTCTAGGTTTACATTTTCGTTGTCACCAGGATATCAACACAGCCCTGTTTTTAGATTAGTATTAGAACCTGAGCATGGCATCTATTTGTATCTCCAAAGAATTTGACATATTTCTCTTCTTGGATATTTGTCGATGCCTGTAAATTGTAATCTATTAAGTTCAAATGACCTAAGAAAGGTTTAATGAGTAGTTCTTCAGTCATGTTACTTTTTACAAACCATCTCCTAGAGCAACACAACAGAGGAGCAAGAGAAACTACTGTTGTTACTTGTGCTGTCAATAAATATTGCAATCATGCTATTCTTCCATTAGAAAACTCAATGATACATGTTCCTTTTCATTTACCTATTTCTGGTCCTGACAAATAAATCTTTTAAGTACTTGCCACAGATGCAACGAATGCTAGTTGGCATCGGTGCCAAAATGAAGATTAAAGAATCATATCAGAGTATATGCAAGTGTTGATCATGAATCGCTTTGACATTATAACTTTCAAGTGAATTCACCTGAGCATGAGAAGAGAAGTAGTCGCCAGTCTAAACACACCAGTGTCTATAACTCTTCTTCGTTTACAAGAAGGATTAGAAACACGAAGATTTGCATAAGGAAACTGTCAAAACTAAAATATCTTCAACACAATCCTCCTCATTTATTGCAAATTAATAAACCTATTACCAAAAACGAGCCAAAAGGCCACAACAAACACGATCACATTGATTCTAACATGAAGGATCTACATTATAGTTGCTTCTTGGAATAAGTTACATGAAAGTGTTATTAGCCTTATAAATAGTTCATATTGATAGCACTATAAACTTCAATCTCTTATGACTCATGAGAATAAAGACCGACTTCGATTGCGCTCCAGCCGAGCTTCCCTCTGCAACATGCCAGAAAATGAAAATAAATATCAGAAATAAAATAATATATCATGAAAATCAATATCCAAAAAAAGGGTTAAACGAAAAATCTGAAGGCGCAAGAAAGGCAATTTTTTTAAAAAATTATTTAAAGCATAAAGTGGCCAAGACATTCTATGATGTCAATGTCAAAAACACCTAAAAACCATAGAGACAATTGATTGCTTAATAATATCTTCCCTCCCACCACTACATCCCTGCTTATGCACCACAAAATTAAATTTAAAAAGAGCTCCAAATAAAGTAAATATTTTTGAACTATATAATTCCAAGTGACAAAAAAGAATCGGGAGACTGTGTTCTCTCTATAGATTCAGGTCTGAGTATAGGCTGCATTGATAGTGATCCAATCAAGGACTGGCTAGTGGCAAAAGTATACAAATTTTTTTAGGGCGATGGCATGAGTATATAACTTAACGAACACGTAAATGAATCTTAATCAGTATGCAATCCTACACCTAGACTCGTTTGCTTTAAACAGCTAAACAACTTGATCCCTTTCATAACTATTTACACACTACCAAAGTCACTTGTATGAAAGGTTTTTACAAGTTCCTTCACACCCATATAAGAAAAGTACCACTCCAAAGTGGCCACAGAAGAACCTCTCAAAGACCATTTTACAGGGCAAAACTCTATATCAGAGGGGTAAAGCATTTCGTACTTTCTTTCACATTACCAATTTCATCATAAAAAAATTTATCATGCATTTATCACAGGTTAGAATACATATACTACTACCATCCTCATTCACATACATATGGATGTGGAAGAGAATAGCTAACATGCATACCTCTTTTTT